CCGAGACGCTGAACGGGGCGGTTCGGCGGGAGGACCTCGCGAGGAGGTCCGGCTCACGTGCACACAGTTTGTGCGCTACCACAAAGAGCACTGCGTGCAAGGGCTGCTACACGTGCGCAGGTATGGACCTGTCTGTGGGCATGCAGGTGCGTGCACGGGTTCCAGAATGACCTTATACAGTGCTGTGAAAGAGTATTCGCCCCCTTCCTGATTTGTAGTCTTTACATATTTATCACATCCAAAGGTTTCAGTTCATCAAACCAATGTTAATATCACACAGAGACTATACAAGGAAATGCAAAATGCCGTTTCTAAATGCCAATTTAATTTATTTCGGCACAAAATAAAAAAATTATCCTCAAACCCTGCTGTCGGGCTACATGCCTTCCTGGTTCCCGCCCTGCTTTTCCCGCCGTCTCCCGATCTGTTCGGGTCATTTCGGGCCAATTTGACATCCAGTATGTCAAATAAAGGGTTAGCTGACTGCCCCTAAGAATAAAAATGTGCCCTTCCTTTGGCACCAATGATTTGAACACCAGCTCAGTGATATGTGGCTTTCTGTTCATTAAATCCACTGTGAATCCCCTGCCGAATGGAGAAAAAGTCCTTAAAATTTGCCAAATTGGCCCTCAAAAGTCCTTAAAAGGTCCATAAAGAAAAAGCAAGTGGAAGAGTGGGAACCCTGCTGCGTGACGTTAATCTCCGATGTTGGGACACTCACAAATCTTCAGTAGTATCCAGCGTTGCAGGTTCAACTTCATCCAAAGTGTTAGGGTCACACTGAAAACAGAGTATTTTACAGAAGAATATTACAAAAGGAAACTTAGGTGGAAAAAGATTTACCATTTGTAAAGAGATGCCCCCCCCCAAAAAAAAAACCTGGGAATAAAACCACAAGATTTCAAATATAAAACTTGGATTATAAGAATTATTGGTGAGAAGCTGACAATTTTAAAAGTTGACTTTATTCTTAAAATTTAAGGTACGTAATACTACGTTAATACTGCATTTTTTTGTGCTAATACTGTCGCCATTCTCTTTGATCTTCCAATTTTTTATTTGACTTATGACTATTGTTGCAACAATATAATTGCCGTAACATGACTGTTCTTGTAACTTAACATTCTTTTTTCATCATGCGTCAATTTTCTAATTATATCACAATTAGTTTGTCATGTAATAGATATTCATTTAATTTTTCTCGTAATATTATGGCATTTATCATGACTTTATTGTTGCAGCAATATGAGTTTTGTTGTAATATGACTGTTCTGGTAATATGATATCATGATTTTTTTTGTCCCCATTTTTCTCATGACATTCTTGTAACATTACATTTTAATGTATAGCTATGTAAATGTATTCATAATGTTACGTTTGACTCATTCATTCGTGTGCAAAACATTTGGCATTTTGTCACTATTCTCATTAAAGTACATTGGGGGGACTTTCGATTTAAAAGATCTGAGCGAATCGAACCGAACCGTATCCAATTGTTCCACTAAAATATATTGAGATGCAAATGGAATAGTCTATTATTGGAGAGATGCACACCTCCTATATACGTGTGTGTGTGTGTGTGTGTGTGTGTGTGTGTGTGTGTGTGTGTTATATATATATATATATATATATAATATTTTTTAAGTCATATGATTCTTTTTAACATTTTTTTTGCAATAGTAATTTTCTGAATGATTTGAGGGAAGGTGGATTTCAAAGAATATGTGTGACAAAAAGTCTGGTCTCCACAAAGTTACCAAAAGTACCTTAAATTCATGTGTGACACCAAGAAAAATGCAGATTACTGTGATGACCCTCAATATGTTTTTTTGTTTTCCACATGTATTCGCAGGTTTGGACCATAGCTGTGATGCTGCTCAGTGGGAAATTCAAGCGTCTTCCTCACCTCTTCGCCTTAAATCTCTTCTTGGCTCAGGTCAGTCTCAAACATAAATTGGTCAAATCTCACTTTTTTGAGTTTGGTTTTGTAACCTGATCACGCCTGTCCTCGTTCCAGTTCCTGGTGTGTGTGAGCATGATCCTGTGGAACTTCCTTGCCAAGCAACAGGATAATCTGGCGGGCAAAATGCTGGCCTTTGCGCTGCTCTACGGCTCTCTGTACAGCACGTACATTTGGACGGGCGAGTGTGCACATCTGCACTTTGATGCGCTGTGTCCTAATCTGCATACTAACCGCGAAGCACGTCTCTCCTCTACTCGACTTTTAGGTTTAATCCCTCTGTGCTTGGCTCTGACCAGCAGAGATGATCTGCTCAGACTCCGGCCAGCTATTTTCATGATTCTGGGTTGGGGGTAAGTTCCACAATAAAACTGCACAAGATAAGGGTTATATTGATTTAAGAGCGTGCGTATAGATCGGATCTCAAATTATTCTGTCCTTATTTGACAAAGCATTTATATAAGCCTCTCTGATCACGTCTTTCTCATCATTCTTTTCATTTATGTTGTGTACATTTGCGGATGTACTGAATTCCTGGTGACACATACATTTAGACACAAGTGGACACTTTGACCACTATGATTGTGTCAGTGTACGTGACAGATTATCACGATAGTTTTTTTTTGTTGTTTTTTCAGGGTTCCTTTCTTCATGGTGGGAGGTCTTTTGATAGTGGGCCAAAGGACCGACTCCATCGATTCTGCCTTCTTCTATGGAAAGGCTCAGGTTAGACAAACACCTTTTGTCACTTTCACACTCATGCTTTTAGTGGCTGGATGAAAATATAAAATAAAATAGTAATTATGTAAATGCAATAAAATGCATTTCCATTTTAATCTCTTACGACTGCTTGTTGTCAAACATTTATTTACCGGTAGCCGCGATTTTTATTGGACTTATGCACAACATGGGAAAAAAACTCCTAACAGTCACTGTCAATCTTTACCTGCAGATTTTCAGCACAGC